GCACTTTTTGGTTTCTGGTCTTCTTTCAATTTCCAATACAAGACGTCAGACACTGAAAGACTGTGCTTTCTGTGCTGTTGCTCCAATCTTCCAGCCCATGTCAAACACTGCAAATCAGCCAGTACTTTCAAGTTATACCCAACAACTCACCTCAAGTACACATCTTTTTTACATTTATTCAATAGTCCTTTAGAGCTCCTGTACCATTAATTTTGCAACAAGTAGAATTTTGTAGTTATCTGTTTCAAACCATTGAGGAAAGTGAACAAGTGGCTTTGTAACTTTTACAAGATGTTTTATCTACATTGACTCACATTTTGGCCCATAAAACATCACCTACATTCAACTGTTGTGGTTCATGTGTAATAGAGACCTGCTGACAGCTACCTGTACTGTGTCTCATTTTGCAAGGCCAGTCACTATCTCTTAGCAGTGGCATCTCAGATGCAGCTCCAGCAGGCCATGGCGCTGCTCTACCTGAATGTTGGGACTTTTATATCATGCAAATTACATTAACAAATGCAGTAGTGTGTTTCTGGATGGACACAACACAGTGTTCACACATTCCGGCAATACATTTCCTGCATAACAGGCTCAGAAATTCAGCAGCAAACATCCAAGAAGTCCAGGAAATTGTTTATTTCTTCCTACTGCATAGGTGTCCCAGCTTTGCTACTTACATGTCAACCATTAGCTCCTGTTTAAGTGTCCTTGCACTGGCTCCCTGTGAATTTCACAATGAGATTCAAAGTGCAGCTGGACACCTTTAAGGGCCTGACATTCCTAACAACATCAGTGAACTGTTAACACCCTACACGTCATCAGAGCTCTTTGAACTTTGGTCTTCTTTCAGTTTCCAGTGTGACCATGCCTTCTGCTCTGTTGCTCCAAGACCTCCCAGCCCATTTCAGATCTTGCAAGTCAGTTTATACACTGTGTCTCAGCTCTTTGCAGTCCTCATCTTATTCAAAAGGGCCTTGAGATATCACAAAGTATATCATTATATATAGTATAGACACATTAGAATTTCTTACATAGGATCTCAAAGCTTTTTAGATGTGTAACCATTCACCCATCCCCAAAAGCTGTCAAACTGTTAAGTTAATGCTCTAGTCTAAGCCATCTCTGAACACACCCAGAGAAGTTTGGATATAATACCAATAACTCACTTTTCTCACTATAATGCACTTTGGAGTGAATACAGATACAAGTAATTTTAGGCCAATAAGTATATATGTATCATGTTATGGAAACAATTATTATAACTAAAGTAGTTCAGGTGGATAGCTGTGTCAGTATGCGTAGGCTGCAAAGGAACAATAAGTTTATTCCATGCTGAAAAAAAGAAGAAAGAAAACACAACGTTTCGGCCGTGGAGAAGGCTCCACAGCCGAAAGGTTGTGTTTTCCTTTCTTTCTTTTTTTCAGCATGGAATAAACCTATTACTTGTTCCTTTTCATTATAACTAAAGGATCATCAATATGGAATTCAGAAACCATGAAACAGACAACACAGATCTAGAAAAGCCAGGTCCTGTATAACCAATTTGTTAGATTTCTTTGAACGAGCAACAAAAGTTATGGATATGATACGGTGTATTTTAATTTTTAAGAGGCTTTGGATGCAGTTCCTAATAAAATATTAATTTCTCAAACTAAAGGCAGTATACATTAGGGAAAATGTGATTTTTTGGATTGAGAATAATAGGTTAAGAAATAGAAAGAATTTATAAATAAGGAGTGAACAGTCAAATAGGGGAGATCTAATAATGTATATCAATTATCTATTCTGAAAATAGATTTCAGAATAATTAGTAAACTAGTAAAAACTGCAGAAACTTGTCTGTTCTGAAATAACTGCTGTGTTAAGACACTACGGGAAAAAAAAACAGACCTCATAAAGCCCACATATGTGTCAAGACACACTAATAAGAACCTTTGAGAAGTTTTTAAAGCCTGTTTCAAACTGAATTTGGGGGTTGCCTTTTCATGTGAAAATGAATTCCTTTACAATGGGTTTTCCCTGCCGGGTGGCGAGTACAGTGAGCACTCAGGACCTACACCAGCCACCCCGCTACACTGCTGACACAGCACCTCGGCCATCTGTACGGCGTCCTTCTCCTTGTGTGTGCACGGAGGAGTAATGTTAGCACAGGAAACTCAATAACAAGTGTTACCGATTACAATAGTTACATTTTAACGAAGTAACCAGTTTATAAATCAGTCTTTATCTACCGTGCACTAATGATGCAATAGCCTGCAAGACATTATGGAGCCGTACAAATGTAATTATTAGTACATCGTGCGCTTTTTGTCATTCAGACCTTACCCTTTGATATCTTCTTTAGTCATTTCTGGCGTTCTTTGCTGTAAAATTATAACGATTAAATCCTTTTTGGTTAGATTAATTAGGAGACAATACTATAGCACTCACTGAGGAAGCATGGAGAGGAAAGACTTGTTTTAAAGAGCACGGTCTGCTAAAACACTTCCTGTATGTCCGACTGAAACAAACTAGCAGAAACTCTCAGTTCCTAGCAACGCTGAAAAAAGTAACAGACTTAATGTCTGTTTCTGGTGTAATATCCTCTCGGTTTCGCATTTTGGTTTGATTTTTTGTTTGATTTCTTTAGTGTCGTATATTTAAGTGTACATTGTTCTCACGAGAAATATGACCAAACTGTTGAGGCTGCATGATGATTATTTGAGATGCAATGTATAAGTTATTGGGAAAATGCACGCGTTAGGAAATCTGAAGCACTGTCCTCAAACTGTAATTGCTCTAAACGTTTAAGGTTACGTTTTTGTAATAGTTTCAACATTTCGCACCTGACTATAATCTGTTTTATTACGTTTGTGTTTTCGTAAGATAACTGAGCATTGTAGGTCTATTATTTTCCGAAGAAAATTATATTACATTACAACACCTCGTTCAGAATACTGTAGAGAAACATCTGATTATTTTCCATTTTCTCCGGTGTGCAATGGAGTAAATCGACAAGGTCACCCATCTAATTCGTGCAATGTGGTCTTTACGATGCTATCTCTCAGGAAGTCTCCCAGCAAGAACCAATACAGGCCTGTTTGTGATCTTCAGTGGTGTTCAACGCCCAGCAAAGAGGAAGCTTTGCACAATGTGATGAAAATCCATATGCATGTCTTATGTATTCAGATCTCCTTATACATCATTTGCAATCCTAAGGATATAAACATTACTACAAATTCATGCAATTGTATACTTTTAAATGTCCATCATTACCGTGTCTGCTGCTTAAAGCAACAAACACAATACCATCATCGTGACAATATCACTCAATAATATCAATCCTGATTAACCCTAACTCTTACAAAACTGTCTATATAGGGTTGCAAAGAAACAAAACTATCAAAACAGTGAAGGAACAAGTTAAGCTTAATTCTGCACTGAAACGTAAAACTGAAAAAAGGAAAACCCAACATTTCAATGTGGTGCATCTTCAGCAGAGTGGGGGAAAGAGGGAGAAGAGGAATAGGAGGCCAAAAGAGAATAAATGGGAAAAATAAATGATTCTTCCTTTTTTTACTTTTATGCATGGAAAAATATCTTTGTTCTTTAACTTTCTATACTATAGTTCTACTTATTATATACATACTATTCAACAGGTTCAAACTCCTCTTTGTTCCACAAGAGGTTATTCAATCCAAGAAGTGTGCATCTGAAGTTCCAAACCAGACGTGTTGACCTAAGATCCTACCAGAACCAGTGATGAAAGCAGAGATGCCCAGCACAGCCAAGAAGAAAAGAATTGAAGATCTGCTGTCCCATCAGAAATGTTTGTAATATTCAGCATTACAGTTTGATAAAAACAACAGTGGGGTGTTTGAACACATGCTCTTTGTAAACCGTTGGAAATAAAAGCAAGCCTACCTATAGAAGCCCAATTCAATTTTGACCTTTAGGAATTGAGGTGTTACTTCTGTTATCTTTAGATGCAGCAAAACTTATATCTCACTGATCTAGATCTTAAACAAGAGAATTCATGATTCAGACGTTTTAATTGTTTTCTCTTATTTTTGGATGTGGCCAAAAACAAGACAATTTGACTTGCTATCGTGTCAGTCTCCAAAAATCATTGAAAGCTTTATTACAAATTTTATCTACCATACATAAACATTAGATTTTTAATGCTTTGGTTTTAAAAGATGACTAATGTAGGATATGAACAATAAAGACAATTTCCAGCCAGAGGTGTACCTTTGGCATTCAGGTAGTAGCAGTTGACTCAAATGATGGTTAACCATGTGTAATATTGTGACTGCTCTGTGTCATAGCACAATGCAAGGTCAAGGCTAATGATTCAGGTGGGTAGCTGCGTCAGCATGCGAAGGCTGCAAAGGAACAAGTAATAGGTTTATTCCATGCTGAAAAAAAGAAGAAAGAGAACACAACGTTTCGGCCGTGGAGCCTTCTTCAGGTGTCAAGATAACAGAAGTAACACCTCAATTCCTAAAGGTCAAAATTGAATTGGGCTTCTGATAGGTAGGCTTGCTTTTATTTCCACGCCTGAAGAAGGCTCCACGGCCGAAACGTTGTGTTCTCTTTCTTCTTTTTTTCAGCATGGAATAAACCTATTACTTGTTCCAAGGCTAATGATGCTGCCCAGTCTAAATGCGTGGAAGACTCACATAAGTAGAGCTTATTAACCCAGCATGTGTTAGAAGGCTGACAGCAGTGGATTACATATTGGTATTAGATGTGAATTGCTGAACCAGTTCTGATCATTGGGAAGCTGGTTTTGAGAGCTTTTGGTCTTGCTAGGTTGAGGGTGAGTAGTCCTCCACTAAATCTGTGGATTGGGCAGATCTCTAGGATGTGCTGCATTGTTTCCTCCATCCCACGGTCACACATAGGGCTGCACTGATCTCCTGTCTATAGAGTCTGGCAGGACATGGACACTGAACAGTACCGAAATGTTTTAGAGTGGACTTGGAAGCTGAAAGCCAGGACGTTGCTGAAGAGGTTGATGAAGTGCTTCTTTTTTAAAGTACAGTGATTCACATTCTTGAGCATAAGTGGAGTCTTCATAGATATCTTGCTGGGGGGAATTTGTAGAGAGACTGAGTTTCTTGAAAAGATGTGTGATTTGGTGGATTAAATATATCCTCATGTAGGGGCTGATGATGATCATTTTGGAGCATTTTTTGGGTGGTTGGAAGTAATGAGATGTGTGGAGGCTTGATGTTTGAGGGTAGGGGGGAGCTGGGGTTTCCAGTGATGGTGTGCATGGTGGTATTCAGCTGGGTGTGTGCTCTGGGAGTATGTGAAGATCTTGACCACACAGGGGCATAGTATTCTGCTTTTGAGGATGACAGTGCAGAGGCTGATGTCTGGAGGGTGGTAGTAGCAGCTTTCCATGTTGAACCAGCAGTGTGGAGATCAGAAGTTCCTTGTTTTGACCTTGGCTTCTGTTGTCTTTAAGTGCTCTTGGAAGCTCAGTGTCCTATTCGGGATCACACCAGGGTATGCTGGAATAGCATGGTGCTGGAATTTCTGACTGTTCATGAGCTTTTGAGCTTTTTTTGTAACTTTTACATTGTGGAGGTGGAATATTCTGGATGCTGATTTTGGGGGCTTGGTGTGGGTCAACACGAATTCTGCTGCTGTTCAAGTTTGGTTATGTCCTCATTTAGGATCTGGTCCAAAGTGTCAAACTTAGGTGTTCAAATTTAGGTACGGCGATGACCTTTGCTCTCCGACCATTTGTTTGTGATGGTGATGGAGTTCAAGACCAGTGTGTGGAACTGAGTCAACAAGGCAAGAGACCTCAAGTGTTTTATCAACTCTGGCATGATGTTGTTGTATCCTGCTGCCTTGCCACACTTCAAGTCTTGCAGAAATGTTTGTAGTTCTGTGCTTGTGTTCCCTCTGTTGGTCTCATGCTGCTGCCTAATTCACCCCCGATTCTTGTTCTTGTGTTGTTTGTCAGGGATGCTTTGACAACATAAAGCAGGTGGCTAGAGATGTGGTCAGGAGTGACAGAGTGGTGGTATTGGATGGGTGGCTTTTGAGCAGCTCCAAGCTGGAGTATTACTGTCCAGTACTTCCTGCTGGAACATGTGAAATTAAGACTTTGTGACACATTTAGGGATTCCATAAGATGATCTGTTATCTCTATGTTTCCTGATGTGTCATGTGTCTGTAGAAACAAGTTTCTAACTGGATTGTTCCAGTCAGAGTCTACAGGTAAGGAGTGCATTTCATCATGGCCAGTTCTTTCTCTAAGTATCCATAATGACAAGCAGCTGGAATTGTGTCACTTCAAAAGACATCTAGTTTTGTGAAGGACATTAAATGGGAGCTTCACTTTGTGTGTTAATAGTTTTACTTTTTTCTTTGTTTCTGGATACAAATTTTTCCCACATTAAAATGTGGGCTTTTCTTGGAAACTCTTTGAGTTGCAAAGCTCTTATTAAAAGGATAATGAATCTTGGGCTGTTAACAAAAGGCCTTTTGAAAACCCAGCCCTGGAAGATAAAAAAAACAAGAAGGGTGCTGGCTTTTTGCAGGTGCTGAAAGATTGAACAGTCATAAAACTATTTAGTATGTTTATACAGAGTTTGTGTTCTCTCTTTGTCTGACCTTAAAAGGGTTCATACTCTAGATATCTTTATCCACAGATAAGTGCAAATATTTTATGGTAGGTACACTTTCAAGGCTGTTTAGCATCCTCTAAACAAAGAATTTAGTCTCTTGGCACCCAGTAAATTCTGTCTTCACCAATAAATACTCCAGAACAGAAAAAGGATAATTTAGGCTTTGGCAGGTAAATGAGACAGAAACACAGAAAGAAAGGTAAAATAAAGAGCAATTAATGTTTTCTGAAATCTAAAATAAAACATCAGACTCATTCAAGTTAAATATCTTCAGCATTAACTATTAAAAAATAGAAAGGTTCTTATGTTAAAAGATCGCAAAATAATTCAAATAAATAATAAAAAGTTAGTGTAATTTCCAAAACTTAATGCTGCAAAACATTTAAAAATAAGAGTGGAATAACTTTTTCAAATTTTCAAATTTCTGCTTACTTGTTTTAGAAAAAAAATCATTTTCACTGGAACAAAGTCCCATGAAGGTTGTGTTATTATCAGGATTACAGAGCACTGCTGAACAGGTAATAAGGTTCTTCTGAACTCTGCAGGAATTTTTACCCTTTTAGAACACAGCACAGACATGCACTAACAGATGTTTTTTTAGACTGAACATGGCGATGCAATATGACTGGAACTGACCTTTGAAATGACTGATATTCTCTCTTTCAGTAAAGAATATCTAGTCTCAAACGCATAAAGAAAAACAAATTAGAAAAAAAATGTTTTGCTGTAGCATTTAAAATAATGTCTGAAACATAATAAGTCACCATCATATAAATAGCAACTAATATTTTGCCTGTGAATAGCACATGTAAAACAGCATGTAGGGCACTTTTAAATGATGTGACGTCCAATCTGAATCAATGCCATTGAATGTTTGTCCAGCTTTCTTCTCTCAGGAGTTTCAAATGCAGGAAATGACTTCCTGGTGGTCACTTCCCAGCCAAAACAATATAGAAAAATAATAATAGGGCCAGAGCTCAAAGGAAACACAAGGACCTGGCTGTTTGTGTTGCTTGGTCTATATCTCACAATGCCACCATAAAGTTAATTGAACATGATCTATATTGTGAGACCCTTTTCTGAAAGCCCAACTTAAATAAACATCCTGATAATAATGAACTGAGCAGCAAGTCCTGTAACAATCCCATTCTATTCTTCTGAGGTCGAGTTATCAGAGCTTCACCTTCTAAAGCAGTGACTGCTAATGGATCCTGTAAACAAGAGTTATTTCCTGTCTGCTTTTGTCAATGGCTTTACCCTTTTACCCTTTAAAGCCCCTGTTTTTTCTAAGTAGTTGCAGTGCAAATTTAAATAAGACCACAGGTCCTTTAGAAATACAGCTTCATCTTTGATGTAATCAAATAATCTTCAATTTAAATTATTGGATTTTGGGATTTTGGGAACAGCGGAAAGAGAAAGGCTTGCTATGTGACTGACTACCTGCATACAAAAGAGCTGGAGAAGAACAAAGCATAGAAATATGCAGTAAAATATTAGAATACATACAGTATATGTAGTGTAATGTTAAAATACTAGTATAGCTCATGGTTAATTTACTTAGTTTATCATGAACATGGAACAGGTTTTTTTCAGTCTTTCTTGGATGTTGCGTTATAAAATATGAGTTACCGCACACCAATAATATTTTTGGATGAAAATGGTATACTCATTTTAGCCAGCAGTCATTTCCAAAATGTTTTTCTGTGAAAATCCTAGTCTCTTTTGATGTTCCTAGCAACTTTGAATCAAGAATAGTTGATTCAAGTACATGTTAGAAAGTAAATATTTAAAATGTTTCAAAAACATTTTTACCTTATCATACAACACACTCTTTTTAAGAATGCGTTACGTCATATTTGATTAATATGACATGCCACACTAGCTTGAGTAGAGCTTTTCTTATTGTGGCTATTCACTATATGAAAACTGTTATAAATAGAATTACAAACAGCATGACAAACCAGGGTCTGTAGAAGTCTGTAGAGCGGAAAACAATAAATTATTGCAAATAATCATCCCATTTTTATAACTTTCTAACACAGAGACCAACAAAATGGAAATGGGTCAATTTCTCTCATTAGTTGATATTATTCAGTAACTGATTGTCCAATTGGTAAAACATTAATAGCAGCCTTGATCATAATGTTAAAAATGAAAGCACTGGTTGGGTATTTTTCCATACCTGTATATTTTGTCTTGGGATTCAATTACTGATAGAAAAGTGCTTTGGACATGAGGGTATCTGTGTTAGCAGCTGTAAACTATGGGCCTTTGCTTTAAGGAATCTCAAGTATCCTTTACCTGAGATGTGACAGCAGAGCTCAAGTGATTGTTATTAGCACTATAGAGCATTCTGAGAGAAAGTCAGCGCCAGTCTTATGCTAATAAGAGGACCAATCCAAAGCATCTCCAAGTGAAAACATCTCTAATTGTTTTTAAACTACCTGACAGTTGGAGGCAGCTGAGTGGAAAATGGCTTGGGAACAGGCCATTTTGTGTTGTAAGCTAGGTAGTATGAATGCATTCTTTGGTTTGGAAATGCAATAGCATACATTTGGTAGATGTGTTTATTACCTGAGGAATCTGGAACATGAATCTGACAGTGTGCTTCTGTTTTATTTCTACAGACTCATGTGCTATATCCTAATTTTCACCTAGGTCAAAGCAGTAGAAATATAGTGCAGTTTTAAGAGGCCTACTGCAGTAAAGAGCTAATACCATCTGTAATAATTAACTTTTGTTCCAATTCACATATTAACATATTATCTGTAATGTGAATATGGAAGATTTCCAAATGTTTCAGTTCTTCAGGTAAAAATGTTTAGTTCTAACTTGGATGTGACTTTCAGTTAATTTCTGAGAAACAGTGAAAATATGTAATGAATCATAAATGTGTAACTTTATTAATATTTTTTTCATTTTAGTATTACCCAGATAATTTATCTGATACATATACACGACACTCGAAGAAGGCTCCACAGCCTTCTTTTCTTCTCTTTTCAGCATGAAATAAACCTTAACTTATTCCTATGCACTGTATACATGAATTTTAATATATGTACATTTCCTTTAATTTCTACCTTTTAACTCTACCAGTGAGCCTCAGCTGCACTATGGATATGAACCAAAATCAGAACAAAATTCCCACTTCAGACCTGAAATCTTCTTGCTCCTGACCTGGGTGACTCTGGACCACTTAACTAAGCTCTTAATAAAAATAATAAGTTAATGAACCCTGATGAAGAATATTCCTGTAGTATAAGTATGACTTTAATTAGCTTACAGAGAGATCTTAGAAGAAAAACACAAGACAGAGTGGTCACAAAGAAGGGGACATTGATGAGGATCCTTGAGTAATCAGACATCCTTAATCCACAGTGCCATTTCTGAATAACATTGTTCTGTAATTCTTATTGATCCATCAGTATGGTGTCTAGGACTGTTACAATCAGGGATGGATTTTGAGTCTGGACAGCTGTGGCATTATATAATGATAATTCCGAGACAGTAACAAGGAACAGTCTTCTTTTTATCTGACAAGCCACCTTCTGGCATAAGGGACTTCCAGAGATAACACAGATTATATTTGATATTTTTAGCTAAATTTTCTGGTCCTGAATGGCTGGAATTTAGCCTGGACTGGTACTGCTTTTCTTTTTTGCACTCTGAAGAGTCAACACTTGCACATTGTTTCTGCACCAACTGTTGAGTTTCAGATCAGATAAGTCAGATCTCCAGGGATCACCCGTCACAGCAGGGCTTTGTGTCATTGTGCTCTGAATGAAGGTGACAGACGTCAGCAGCACACATGTTCCAGCAATGGGGAAGCCCATCAGGCATTCCCTTCTTTTGGAAAAACTCCCATTTTCATTTGTATCAATCAATTCTTTACTTGACCAGAAAAGTCAATAGACAGCAGGTTCCCATTTACAGCAAGGGCCCATACAAGAGGCACACAGCAGCAGGGGAAACAAAAGAATACAGGCCGGGGTTATTTGCATGTGGAAGGTAACAGACCCCCCCCCCCCAAACACACTAGAAATGTTTTAAACAGATGGGGGAAAATTCCCAATTCAAATTCCATAAAGAAGGTCAAATTGCTGCCTGCGGGGTTTTTTTAAATGTCCTAAAAAAATCTTGTGTTTTGAAAAAATCTTGCATAATCCTTTTCCCCAAAGTATTTAGCTCTCTGGAGGCTGAGTAGAATCCAGAAAAGCCTATATAAGTGTAAGGAATTGCCAAGAGGTGAGAGAATCTGAAATAGTTTGGGCTTCAGTTCAAGTATCACTTAGGTACACGAGACATTAACTGTAAATAAGTCTCATCAGGTTTGTGCAGTAATATTTGTATATATTTCTCCTTAGTAGTAAATCAAATACACTATATGGAACAACAAACCTTTTCTCCAGTGTTTCTGAATTGAATAGGATATGCGAATATACCATAGTTGAAAAGACTTTTGATATGTAAAAGCTCATTTAAGCTATGTAATTGAAGACTTCAATAGTCAGATGTTCAGAAGGAGAGCCACTTCTGAAACAGGAACTTTGCTTCAGCATTCAGCCTAATTTTGAGAAGGAATTTTCTTTTGCTCTTGTAATGATTCAAGTGCTCCATCCCAACCTGAGTACTTCAATCTAATCTTCTACATCAATGTTAAGAAGAGACGATGCAAGATATTTCAGAAACAATTTTGACTTTATTATTAATAATCTGGAAGAGTGAAAGCAGCAATTTAAAATGATTTGAACTTTAGCAAACACTTTACAAACATTCAGTATAAAACACATACCTTAAATAAATAGCATCTGAGAATAACAACGTTTAAGTGCTACCACAAGCTGAAAGGTAATTTCTATATACAAATCCTATAATATGAACCTCAAGTATTTTTAACAGCCTCTGAGAAATATGATGTGCCAGACGTCACACCTGTGGAATACTTTATGCAAGTTTTATTTTATGGTAAACAAATATCAAATTTAATACAGCTGAGAGAACAAGAATATTAGCATTTACTGACACCTGGCCAATTAATGTGCTCCAGGCTCTGCCTGGACAAGGTATCTTACTTAACAAATAATAAGAATATAACACACTTAAATAGCAATGTTCTAAAAAAACAAACAAGAAAAAAACTGTACAGAATAGCAAATAACAAAATGTAGTAAAAGTCCCTTATTTAAACTGAAGTCTCTTGAAAAGTAACAGTGTCTTTGTTAGCTTGATTGGAAACTTGAAGACTCTGACTCAGTGGAAACTGATGAAAGTCCTCCTCTTTTGCTCTTGGACAGGATCTTCAAGCTTGAGCCTCTGCTGACCGAGAGCGCAGTCCTGGCAGACTTCTTGAACTTCACCCCCAGGAAAGCATACAGGATCGGATTCAGGCAGCAGTGGAAGTAGGCCAGCGCCTCCGTGATCAAAATCCACTTCTCCAGCGCTTGCTCCAAAATGCAGCTGTGCTGGATCACGTCGAGCATCATCAAGGTGTCCACGAAGATGGCGATGCAGTAAGGCAGCCAGCAGCTGAAGAACGTGAGGATGAGGATGACGGTGGTTTTCAGCGCTTTGCGCTTCTGTTGGACCTTAGAGCCTTGGGAGAGCCTGGAGATGATGATGCAGTAGCAGGTCAGAATGATCAGGCCCGGAAGCACCAATCCCACAAAGACGTGCTGAAACCGGAAAACGGTCATCCAGATGAGGGAGTTTCCCGGGTAAATCCGCTGACAGTTCACTCTGGAGCCCGCATTATGGACTTTGGCGAAAACCAAATCGGGCACAGTGAGGAGGGCTGCGGGCAGCCAGACGCCAACATATATGACCTTCTCTGCCAGCAGTTTTCGTGGACCCTGGCTGTTAGTTGCTCGTACGACGGCCAGGTACCGGTCCAGGCTAATGAACGCCAGAATAAGGACGCTGCTGTACAGGTTGACGGTGTAGATGACGTGGACTGCAGTGCAGAGAAAACCACCGAAGTACCAGCTGCTGGCAGCATCGACAGCCCAGAAGGGCAGCGTGAGCACAAACAGCAGATCAGCAATCGAGAGGTGCAGCCTGTATTTGTCCGTCATGGTTCTGGACTTCCTCTGGAAGCCCATCACAACGACCACCAGTCCATTGCCAACAATGCCCATGAGGAAGATGAGTCCATACACTGTCGGCAGGAAGAACTTCTTCAGGTTGTTGCTCAGGGCTAGGTCACAGGGCTCCACGAAGTCATTGTATCCTGAACCAAATTCGTCTGAAGTGTTCGTGTCATCGCCGAAATCAACCACAAACACATCAGTCTGAAAAAGGCAAAAACACAAATCGACGTCAGTATACCAAGTACACGTTTCTATTCGGATTCGGTTGTGCACATAACTACTGCCAAAAAGCGGTATTCTGTTTTACACTAATTTATTAATGGATAGCATTAAACCCTATATAATCTTAAGCATAGTACCAATCTATGAAGACGCGTCGAAAGTACAGTAATACATGCTGGGGTAGTTTTGAACAGCGAGCATTAAAATCAGTGCTGCTGGACCGAGGCGCTCTGAAAACGCTGCAGCGCATTAGAGAACAGACTCCTCAAAACAACCCGTAAAAGGCTGATACCCACATTTTTACTGATTTATTTAACTTATCAGTAAATAAGTTAAATCTTGATCAGTAAATCTTAATATCAAAGAACAGCTGATAACAAACCTACATCTTCACTTTGCAAATATCCCAAAATAGCAAAACGCCCTATTAAATTCACCTGATGAAAAATCAATAGATATCGAGAATAATCTATTGAGAATAGATAATAATGAGAATAATAATGAGAATAATGTAATAATGAGAATTAATTCAAAGCCGTTCTCTGTTATGGATATTGCTAAAAACTGCCGAATCTGCGATACAATGAGTGATACTTACATTGGTGAAAGAAGACATGGTTCCCACTGTAAGGATCACTTCAAATCTGTCATAAACCCTCCAGCATCTGGATGATCAACAAGTCGATTGAGCCTTTTTTAAACCTTGGTGCCATATGTACGTTCACCAAACTCGGGCCGCCCCCAGGCGGGGCTGTGTGACAGTGACGTCCCTCTTCACCACCCAGCAGCTTGCCTTAACACGTGTGACCTGGGCTACTTTCCAAAAATAGTTTCTTTCTTCCCGTTTTACAATAAAACCAGTGTTGACTGTTGCTTGTTAATATCTAGGAGAGCATTGTAGTCAGTTTGTTTTTGTTGTGTTATGGGGAAAAAGCCTAATAGCCTAATTTACGTTACAGCCAAAATAGCACGCAGTCGTCAGTCTTCAAAGTCTGCAGCAAACTTAAAAAGCACTTCACAACAATGATATAAATTTGTATTTGTGCTGAATATTCGCTATTTAATCAGTATTCACGAGTGAAAAGTGGAACAGAGTGAACTCGCAGAGGGCTAGTCTACTTCACCGGTTCATCGTGTTACCGCATTTCTCTTAAGCTCTGGGAGCACGTCTCCCGATAGTCACTGAAAAAATTGTATATTAATTAGCAATCACTTTGATGCGTCCTTTATTCGATTATTTTGTTTACAGAACCACACCAACAGATTCGGGTTTAAAAATCCGTTTGTATCTGGGTGATATTATAAATTCCACTTGCTTTTCACGAGTTTCTTGAACTGGCATGATCACAAGAACGGTGATATGTTCAATTTGACTCCAAGGCGAGCTCTGAGTCATGACTAGACTTTATTCTGTCATTTTAGAATTAATGCCTGTCACCTGTTTTCTCCGGGGTAACTTTATTATTTATATCGGTTTCTGTGGAAGTATTTTATTTCCCAAAGCCCAAAACCTCCAGCCTGGATTGTGACTTTCATTGTCGTCACAATACCCCTATGTTGTTTACGCTCCACTGGCAATGAATGCCCTAAAGGATTCAATGCAAATTCCCCAGCTAACAGCCTGAAGTGCAGAGACTTGGTTTACCCTCTCCTGTGCAATTCAGTGCAATAGGTGGTGCCCAGTAATCTGTTGAGGCTGTTCCTCCACGTGCACCTTTTTCCTTACCAGTTTAGCCACTGGTCTTCTTAGCTGCTTCACTCCTGTTCTCTAGCGCTCTCCTCAAAGCCACATATACATCTGTAAAACTGCTTTATTGAACAAAGTGTTCTCAATATTAAGGAGGATCACTGAAATAGAACTAAACGATTCACAAAATGAAGGAAAAGACTGGGACAACAAAAACTCACAAAAAAGCTCTTTCTCAAATATAGTTGAAAGAATTTAGAATTTTCTTTGTAATGCACTATGAACAAACAAACACATTTGGCCCAGTGGACTTCAGGAACTAGAAGACACAAGTGGAATGAAGGAAAAATCACACGTAAAACTGAGAACAGGGGGTTATTTTTTACGCTAAAGGTTGTGGGAGTCTGGAACAAACTACTGAATATATTTTTATAGATGAATTCTTGATTTATTTCAAGCAGCAATGATAATAATTATTCCTTACACTTATATAGTGCTTTTCTGGATGCTCCACTCAAATTGCTTTACAGGTAATGGGGATGCCTTCACCAGTGTGTAGCCCCACCTGGATGATGCAGTGGCAGCCATAGTGCACCAGTACTGTCACCACACACAAGCTAGATGGGCCTATTGGCCATCTCTTGTAATATTTCTTTCTTATGTTTTCATGTTTTAATTGGTAATTAGAAAAGCTAACAAGTTTTATATTTTTTATGAAAATTTAAACAAGACACTACTTATCTAGTCTTGTCTAAGTGGTAGGGATGGTTTGAGGTCTGTAGTAATGTATTCCTGCTCCTGTGCAGAATCTCCTCCTGGAATCTTTGCACCAACTTGTGAGCCTTTACCTGCTAAAGACTTCTTTCTACTTCTGCAGCCCTAACAACTTCCTCTTGTGGAGTTTAATTATCTTTGTGCATGCTCATTCGGGAGTCACTCAAATTTTGAACCACACGGTGATAGAGCATTATGTGAAGCATTAAGAAGGTTAAAACCTTCTTAATCTTCCTAGCAGTATTAATACTTTAGTATTAGCCAAAGAGTCATGGAATGGTAGTTTAGTTTAACACACCCTCCCTTCTCTCTTGTTTGTGTAAGCATGCGGGCAGTACAAAGTGTTTTCATATGCACCAGAATCTCAAGGGAATACCCAACAGGGCTCCATGTGTAAAGAGCAGACACTAAAACATATGGACTTATTCTTTGCTCATGTAATTCTACTCCTTGTGCTTTGAAGGCATGCAGGGCAGGACTGTTGAGCCAGGGGAGGAGAGGTGCCTGCTGCTGGAGAGGGTGTCTGTGGGCTGTGAGATGTGGAGTCATATGAAACAAGGCTATCTGAAGGTAAAGTTCACTGTCGGCCCCAAAACAGACCAGAAATCTGTCTTCTGCCTTGATTACTTCAGTAAGTAACTTGTAGAACTTGTAACTTGTTTGTTTTAAACAAATGTTGTTTAGTTGATGCATAATTCCAATTTCTACATAACTAAAATAAAGTTAGAATCTCAGAAAGCATTTCACACTCTGCTGTTCTGGAGGGCATTATTGGTTGCTTTCTATACTCTCATTATCTACAACAGTAACTTATTTAACAACACTATTTCCTTCTCAAATATTTGTTTTTAAAAAACAAAGCACGTATAAATAATAAGCTATGTATCATATTTTTGTTCCAGACAGAAAGTGACTCACAGTGGAAAGTTTCCAAAAGAAGGAAGGAGTGGGTGTCAGCTCAACAAAAGAAAAGTCAAACAACCCCTAGTGATTGTTATTGTTATTATTATTATGCTTATTATTATTATTATTATTATTATTATTATTATTATTACCTGAAACAGCCGATTTCTGCAGAGACAATCAGATTGAAGCTAGGGTATGACAGTGGAACCCCAACCAGGCACTTAACACGCAGGTCCACAGCACCCAATAGACTTCAGTGATCATCAGATCACTGTACACTGCTTAATGATGGCCAGCAATATATTAATATTCTGAAAGGCTTTGGGTTTATGTAATACCTTATGATACCTTAGAAATTGGAAGGAATTTATTTGAACTTAGACTTTTTTATTGTGCTTCTTCATTGAACCACAATTAAATATTATTAGAAATCGGATTCTCCATTAGAATTCTCATCTGCTTTTTTGCTCCAATTAAAATAAAAAAGGAAGAGTTTTCATCTTTACTGATGACATTATTTTAATAAGATCCTTCATCACTCCAGTGTTGTTACAGGTCTTAATCTATGTTTTGCTTTTAATGTCCAGCATTAGATACCAAATAACTGTAGTCTCCATGTCTAACCATAGATTTATTGACCACCAGATAACATTTTTGGCATTACCAGTTAGCCTTTAAAAATGCAGATAAGTAAATGGATAACTCGAACAATGACAAGCATGTACTCTTTCTCATTGATTTTGAATGTGTTTGCTGGGTCATACATACCAACAAGCCCATTTTATTATGCACTGGAAAAAATAATCTATTAGCTATCATTGGCAAACAGTCCATCTTAAGAGCTGAGATTTTGTTGTATAAAAATAAGATGTTGGTTTTACACCTACTTTTAAAAGACTTCTAAAAGACTTTGAAGGATTAAGAACACCTAAAACTCTAATCTAGCCATTTCAATCTGAATACAATAGAAGTGTGAATAATTTAGAATACAGATCAAAAGTGCAAAAGGAACTGGTTGTAGGGCTTTGTAGCTATGGAGTACTCAAGGAGAAGAATTGGTATTAACATGAGCTTCAGATAAAGCAGAAAATGTACCTACACCCCCTGGTGTGTGCGTAAACTGTAAGGTTTCAATCAGAAATAGTTCAATTTCTCCAACGTTGCTTTCAGAAGATTATTCCTTGATGTATTTTGCAAATATAACCCGTTGTACGTGTCAGCACAAACAGTGGAAATTGCCAGTGACTGTTTTTTCCCCCATAAAACAGCTGAAAACATATCTGCAATGGACAGGTGTTTTTACACCCTTGTCAATATGTATAAGCCAGGAGCTTCAGCCTGTATGCCAGTGTTAGAAACAAGTAGATATAAACAGGAGAACGCAACCCAGCACAACTTGTTTGAATTTAATAACTAATTAACTTGGGAATGTCATCCAGGCATTTCTTGAAGGAAGCCAGGATAATGGTTTTCTGCAACAACTGACTCCCTCAGACCTTCCGGATAAAAAAGAGTCCTAGTCTCTCTCTTGACAACTTTTTTTCTATAAAGTGAGAGGAACCAAACTCTGTAGCTGTATATTTCTGCAAAAGAATAAAGAGAGTGTTAAAAGAAAAGGGAGATGCTCTTACTTCAGAATTGGTTGGCTATAAAATACATGAAAAGTAATGTCCTTAATAGAGCTTAAAAGAGCAACTCAGAGCAGAGTTCAACTTTTTTTTCTGTGCTGTTAAGTCTAGAGAGCACATGACACCCCAGTCTTCGTCAGGGATTACATCAGCAGTGCTGCTCACTGTTTATACAGCTGGGTGGACTGTACCCAAAGCACCTTGCTCAAGTGTAAAACAGAAGAGTCAGCTTGAACCCAGGAGACGTACCCATAGTGCTATACTGCCCTCAAATTTTCAAGTAGAAATTTCCATCCATCCATTTTCTAAAATGCTTCATCCATTACAGGATTGTGCGGGAGCCTGAGACTATCCCATCAAGCAACAGGCGCAAGGCAGGGTATACACTGGATGGGACACCAGTCCATTGCATGGCTGACACACCGACAAGCACACAATTTCCCTAGAAGCCAATTTACCGACCAGTATGTTTCTGGACTGTGAAAGGAAATGGGAGCACCCAGTGAAAACCCACACGAACATGGGGAGAAAACTAACTCCACACAGACAGCACCTCAGGTCTGGAACTGAACCCAGGGCCCAAGGGTTGTGAGATGGCAATATTTACTACTGTGCCACACATAGTAATTAATCAACTGTTTTTTAACAGAAGAAAATCATGACAACATAAATGGCTTGTTTAAGCTTAATTTGAATTAAAAAGAAACAAAG